GGGGGGGGGGGGGGGGGGGGGGGGGGGTGTTTAAAGGACGGGCGTGGAGAATGTGCCCTATCGCGCTATCCATGCTTCCGTTCTAAGCCAGAATGCCGTATGATCTATCGACACATCAGGCGTCGACGAATTTTCAGGGATACCTGTGAATATTTTTCCTCCAATCTTTCAAAGAATTTTCCTAGCAATTAAATCTAAGTTGTCCAAAAAATTCGAGAGAAAATATTCCCAACTCTCTTCAAAAATGAACAATTTATTGGAAGAAGTTTTGCTACTGTTGAAAGTACGTGCGGCGAGGCGCTTTTCCTTAACTTACACAGCAGCATGGTTTGCGGGTGAACGGTGCACTCTTCCGAACACGGTGTATGCTATGGCAGGCGAAGCATAGGCAATTTGCTCGTCTGAGAATGTATGCTTAACAGTGTAGTGCTTGAAGTATTTATACGATGTCGCAGGCGCTATATACGTCGTGCGCAGACGCGCCCTTTGTCGTTACCTGAAAGATAAAGCTAGGATCGAAATGCTGCGCATGAGCTTCGCAAAAGAACTACAGTCGACAGAAGTCTTTAATTTCTTTTAATAATACAATTTTTTTCCTTTGAGAGTCAGCTAAATATCGGATTGACGGCAATCCTCCTCTCTGGAGACCCAGGAAAGCTACCAATGGTTTTATTCTTGCAATAATAACAAATTAAACAGCGGGTAACAAGGCTAATTTTCATACAAATAGGTATATTAATAGTTAGATAAAAACACTAAAAAATTGCAAAAATCTAATAACGTAGTACTTGGCTGTACTTTTGAAAGCGAGAGAATTGTTGTAGCGCTTTTATTTATGTTTCTTCAACAGTGCAGCACTTATTGTCAGTACATAAAATATTTTAAAATTCCCCTTTTTTAACATCCCCCCCCCCTAGATCTTGCTTTGAAAATAATTAGAGCTCGTTAATGTAGCTCTAATTCTAATAAGTTTTTTTGCTCTGATTTCTCCTTAGAATAGCGTGTACTCAGCACTATTTTACTGTCTTGCCACTCAAATATTTTGTAACAGTAGCGCCATTAGAAGTATGAGAAACCTTTTTATTTTATTTTACAATGGTATTTCAATGTGAACAGGAAAATAATTTAGATGGATTCATTTATCTCAAGAGCGTGAGTCAATTGCGTACTTTAGGTTAGACGAAAACAATCGTCTTACGGATAGTAGCACAAAAATTAAAATGAGCGTTTTTTTCTCTCGTTTTCTTTCTTTGGGCAATGTTTGAAATTCTATTAAAAACTCCGCGAATCTTATGTGGAATTTTAAGTATCCCTCGCTTCAAAAACTCTATCACGCCAAAGGCGCTTGATTGGATGCGATTGAGTAGCCTTAAGTTTCATAACCTAAGGCGTAACCGTAAATGCATAGCCGCCGCCACATGATACAGTTTTACAAATGGACTGAGTTAAGCAGAAAGGAACCAACCCACATTTTGGAAAAAATCGAGTTATGAGTGGTTTTGAACTCAACCACTGCTCTACTACCTGTCGCCGAAAATTCGAAGTTTTTGTTGGAGCAAATTTTGCAAAAATTGAACTTAAAGCTTATCTTTTACATTGAGTCTTATGCAGGATCCAAACTTTAAACCTCTTTTGCTCGGTTCGATCCCGATGTGGCTTGGTTCCTTTCTGTTTAACTCCGTCCAAATACCAGTACAAGCCTCTCATTAAATTCAACTCATTGATTTTTTACGGATTGTTTTTTTTTTTTTTTTTTTTTGACATTATTTTAATTTTTAAATTTTTGGAAAGTAAGCAAAAACAAATATTTCTCTTATGATAATCGCGGATTGCACCCGTGACTTTAACGATTCAAGTGAGCTCTGTTAGCTTGCTGAAGTCAATCACAAAAGGGTTTAAGTACTTTACCTGATTGTACAAGAAAAAGAAAGAAAGTTTATTTGAATTTAGATAAGTCAGTCACAGCGGTGAAGGAAAGTATACATAGGTACGCAGGGTACATATCAATGGTGATACTGCGGAAATGCGTCATCTCGGTTTGTGGCGTTGCAGACATCCTGTTTTTATTCTACATGGAAAACTACTGAGCGTTATTCTTGGAAAATTTAAGTGATTTTCTTTTCTCTTTGTAAAGAATAGCTTCTGAAAACGTCAAGCCATGATACTGCCATGCTAAGCAAGAACGCCGTAAATCCATCAAGATTTTTCCGCGTTTTTGTAACTTACCCCTGTATGAAATGAAAACTGTAATACCCAAGCGCCTCAAATTTTCAAGGTAAGTTCTTGATAGTATTTGTGAAAGAATTCTGTAAAAACATTGTCCAAAGGTAGAGAAGTTTTTCTGCTGTAATACGTTGTTTCCAAAAAATTTAAAATGACGTTTACGGCGTTTTTGCGTTGCACGACAGGATATCGGTTCGGTCCTCTATTAAACAATAGATTAGTAGCGGATATTTCGATACACCAATACCGCATTACGCATTTTCGCAGTTTCACCCTTGATGAATTACATTTTGTAGGAACCACAAGAATCATCAGAAAATCGGAGAAAATCGTTTGTTCAAGAATATTTGAACCAAATTTCGCAATTTGGAACTACAATTCCAAGCGCAGCTCAGAAACAATATATGTGTCCTTAGTTTCTCAATGCAGATAAGTGTTTTTACAGACGAGCCAGAACTGTAGTTCTTAGTTGCAAAATGTAGTCCATTTTGCTCACCGTTATTGTTGAAATTAGATAACCAAGAATGAACAGAGAAAAAAAAAAATTCACTGTTGGCATGATGAGTCCTCTAACACAGCTCGATCAGCCTCGAAAGCATCACAGTTTTCGACTGAGTGCTCCTGCGATATTAACCTGCAAGCGTATAAAACATGTGTGTTTCTTTTTTTTTGACGTGCCGTGTCGTCGTTTTGAATTTTGACGGGAAAAAAGCAAGCAGTCAGTTCTAGTTTGCGACACCCATCAAAAAAGCAAAAAAGAGGAAAAATTTAAGTCTGACGCCACGCCAGCTCCCCGTGAGCCAAAATAATGGCACGGATTTAGACATGTCGAGCAGAATGGACGTACTCCAACCGGACTACATTTTCCTATAAGGAGCTACTTTTTCTGGCTCAATGGAGATGTTGCATGTTTTAGGAATTTGCGATTTGACTACTGATTTTTATGTAAAAGTTCGCGAGAAACACGATGGTCCCACTGGTTTTCTCTGAAATCGCGTTTCGCGCGAGAGAGAACGCGGGACAAAATTTCCTGTGAAGTTTCTAGTGATTCTTCTGAGGTTTTGCTGTAATTGTTTTAGCTGAGAAACAGTGGTCGTAGAGGTAATATATTGTCTAAGAATTGTTAAAGGACCATGCTATATTTTCTTACGACTAAAAGGAAACTCCTTTCCATACACTATTTACTGTAGCACAAGAAGCAACTAAAATTAGCTTAAATTCCTTTTAGATGTAAGAAAATATCGCATGGTCCTTTAACAATTCTTAGACAATATATTACCTCTACGACCACCCACTGTTTCTCAGCTAAAACAATTACAGCAAAACCTCAGAGGAACCACTAGAAACTTCACAGGAAATTTTGTCCCGCGTTTATCTTATAATTGACTGTAATATCCAGTATTTGCTCAAAGTTGTTAAAACAATTGAAATAATGTAGAGTTATTCAATAAATAACAACAATACATTTTAGACTTTGATTTTCTTTTCACGAAATTGATAAAATAAACCTGTTAAGTGCAGAAGTTTGAAAGAAACAAATCGGAAAGTACTAATTTTCTTGGCTACCGAAAGGAAAGGGAGAGGGTAGGCGGTAGGGGTTGATAATGTTCCTCTTCTCTCCCACTCAAATTCAAGTATACTTTTCGGGGTAATGATGCTTCTTGAATATAACATCCTCACATTCTCAAAAAAGATGTAAAAATGTGTTTATAATGAGAGGCTCCTAGATCTGAGAGCACTTTGAGAGGCGGGGGGGATTTAGAGAGGGAAGGGGTCCAGTGTATGGGTGGAAAGAGAAATTGGGACCTTGCTCATCGAATGCGAAGTATGAAAATCATAAAATTCTTCAAAAAACAAAGAAAAAAAGTATCGCAGCTATCAAATAGGTAACCATATTCAATACGGGCCTCGCAGACCCCGGTTAGTCGTTCTAGGGGTAGACATAAAAAAATAAAAAAATAAAAAAAAATAAAAAATAGAAAATTGCTATGCCTGAAAGAAAATTCTATAAAAATTTTCTTTTTTCGAGAATTATGTTTTTAAGGGTTTTTGTAAAGCTGTTTGTGAAGGACCGACTTCTCAGTCAATTGCAGCCGCTGTGGCGCGAAAAATTAAAAGACCGGGTCAGTCATATAGGGAATAAGCGGAATTTGATGTAAAATATTATTTTTTTATTCTCTCCTAATAGATAGATTTGGTCATATGTTCAGGTCAGGTTCCAAGGCTGATGATTGTATTAAAGTTTCTTTCTGTACTGCAAATCTCTTTTTATCCATAAACACTTCAGAATCCGGATTTTTTAAATCACAGAACTTTCAGTCTTTGATGGGACTTAGGTAAGGAGGGGGAGATTTAGAGGGGGGGGGGCAGTTTATGGGTGGAAAGAGAATTTGGGACCTTGTTAATCGAAGACAAAGTATGGAAATCATAAAATTCTTCAAAAAACAAAGAAAAAAGCATGGCAGCTATCAAATAACCATATATTCCCAATACGGGCCTCGCAGGCGCCGGTTAGGCGTTCCTGTAGGTAAAAAATCACTCTCTCAGCCTAATCAAATTGCGTCAACACAACTTTTTTCCGAGATCGCGTTTAGCGAGTCGTGTACCGGTGAAAAATTGGGCAGAACTTACGTGGAAAAAATTCACCTAAAACGAAGATTTTGAAATAAGAACGTATACTCCAGCATAGCGCTTTTTTACGAAGAGTTTTTTTTCCCTCGAAACTTTATTTTTAAGTGGATTTGCTCAGCGGAATGACGTCCATGAGTGCGATTGCACTCGCTAAGTGCTCTCCAGTCACGGTTTTTTATTTGAGGGTGAAATTGATGTTCTGCTCTTATTTCCGCAAGTGTCTTCCTTGTGTCAAGTTCTCGTGACAGTTTCTCGTCACTTTGTGCGGTCTTCAAAGCTGCACGCTCTATGATTCCGCAAATTCTGGTCTGGAGTTTAATGGTTCTCGGGAGAATAGATGACACAAAAATTGCCTCATGGCCTGAAAATCAGAGAGGAAAAGAACAAAAACCGCAATGTAAATGTCGGGCACCCCCTACTTTAACGAGTCATCTCTGATTGGCCAATCTGCTCGGTGCCCACTTGCCGGAGCCCACTGTTAAGGTCCAGTTACACGATCAAATTGCGCCATCAAATTGGGCCTCTCATTGGTCGCATCCTCACCTCAGGTCTTTTTTCACCAATCAGAGCTTCAGTTTGATGGCTCAATTTGATCGTGTAAAAGAACCTTTAAATCGACCCAAACCGTAGGCTACTCTAAGACATCGGGTCATGAAGATAGTGTCCTGCCGAACTCATGGACCTTACTCCCCCCCCCCCCCCCCCCCNTACTCGGAGGGCGCGACTTGCGAGTTGCTGTATAGCGCATTTGTATTACCATCGATGTGATCGAAATTCGGTTCTAGAGTCTGGCGACTAATTTTCAAAGAGGTCGCAGATTTTCAACACGAATATTCTGTCACCTCAACCCGAGGATTTAGTCAATTTGACACACAGGGAAAACTAACACACAAAAAATCAACCAGCAGCTTGTGTTTCTCCGTGTTTTACTTCCTATATTAACATAAAACGTTGGTTACTTTTTCTTACTGTGGCCGTGATAAATTGATCTTGTTAAATTTTTCGACTCTATACTCGTCGAATTGTTAGAGAATATCTGGACTCAATGCTCGTCAAATTGTCGGAAGATATCTACTCTTCACTATTTTGGCTGCTATATGCTTACTATTATTTTTGAAAAAAACTTCACGGAAAAAAAGGTCTCACAATCCCAACTATATTCCTGGCTGATTTTGGCGCCAGACATGATGACAGTCGCTCCAGTCAGAGATATAGTTGAGCCTGCCGAAAGTGTGGTTGGGTCAACCATACCCCTGGCTAGTGGATCCACTCTCATATCTCATAACCAAAATTAGCCAAGGGTAAATTTGGGACTGTGATCCTTTTTTTTTAGTGATACCCCTTGAAACGGAGCACGGAGTTCAGTGTATTGGACTCAGTATTCAGTGGTTTTTTTTTTTTTTTTTTTTTTTTTTTTTCAGTGTATTGGGTCACTATACCATGAATGAATTTTGACTTGCGAATACGTTGTTCTGAAGTTAAATGACGCGTAGAACACGATGCGCACTTTGAAAAAGCGGAAAAGTAAATAAAAACCCGAGAAGTATGCACGTCATAAAGCGCAACTTTTCCGCAAAAAAAGGGCCCGGTTTCGCGCCGAACCAAGTGCTGAGATCCGGAGCCAATCAGAAGCGAGCACGGGTTTCTATGACTAACTTCCGTCAAATGTTTTACCACTACTCGTATGCGAAAACGATAGGAAAGTAAACCTTCAGAATCAATGACTCGAATCCCATTCATGTTATTTGTAGTTGACAAGCAACAATTCCACATTAAAACACATTTTATTTTAACGAACATCAGTGGAATTGGAGAAAGAATAGCTTTTTGACTGCCGTAGTTCATCACCTCCATCATTTTCCCGCCTTTTAGGCATACGTTTGAAATTCGAGTTTCGAGTTTCGAGTTTTTGGACTTTTAAAAGCGGGCTTGTCCGGAATTTTGTCTCGAGTTAAGAGTAGTTTTCAGCTCAACTAACTCTTCACTCTTCCCTTTTCTCGAGTTCATCTACATGCGACTTGATGCGTGTCTATTCAACGCAGCCCAATTGAAATCCCTTTCCTTTCTCAAAGGAAAAGAAGAAAAGAAAAGTTAAATTCAACGTGCGGATGTGAATGTCAAAAAATACATTTTTTGAAATTTCAGCGCACATTTTCTGTCAAAGTATAAAAATGCATGAGGACTGGATTCGCCGGAAAATATATGCCGAATTCAACAATTTTAGCGATATATTGCATAGCATAAGAGCTCTTTTTGCATAACGATGGCTAAAGTCGAAAACCACGTACCTTGCTCACGGTTTTCAAGATTTCCGCATCTAATTTAAGATTTCAAAGAGAAACGAGCCAATTTTATCGCTTTAAATTTTCACAGAATATTCTTCGAGCAGAAGTGAAATCACAGTCGTTTTCAAAACATTCAGTACGTTGATTGGTTTTCCAATAAATTAAAAAAATGTAAAAAAAAGTATGACGAGAAGTATAGGACGTCGCAAAATGAGATACACGTTTCCCGAGTGTAGCCGTCAATATACTGCCTCCATTAATACCAAATTATGTACATCCACCTGTTCCTCATCATTTACAAATCTGAGTGTTACGTTAAAAATTTTGAAATCGATGCAGCTCAAACACAAAATTGTGTATAAAGTGGAAGAACATTTTTGCCTATACATATGCGTAAAGGTCCTGCGAAGCAGGCCTGAGGGCGCTTAGCGCCCTCCAGGGGGTTGGGCCGCGTAGCGGGCAGGGGGCAGGGCCCCCTACTTACATTATACCTTCGTGGCAAGAAAATTGATAATCGATCCCTTTCGATAGGTTCGATGAAGCGATTCGTCGCAAAGGACATGACCGTTCTTCTGTTCGTCGTGACGACCCGACGGCGGCGATTAACCGCGGATTCACGCCTCGGTCGGTCGGTCCTCGGTCGTCAAAGCGGTAGGTGCGCCGCGCCGTGGAAAAGGGACCCAG